AACCAGTCACCTGCTGGCACCACAACCAGTCACCTGCTGGCACCACAGCCAGTCACCCGCTGGCACCACAACCAGTCACCTGCTGGCACCACAACCAGTCAACCTGCTGGCACCACAACCAGTCAACCTGCTGGCACCACAACCAGTCAACCTGCTGGCACCACAACCAGTCAACCTGCTGGCACCACAACCACAGTCAACCTGCTGGCACCACAACCAGTCAACCTGCTGGCACCACAACCAGTCAACCTGCTGGCACCACAACCAGTCAACCTGCTGGCACCACAACACAGTCAACCTGCTGGCACCACAACCAGTCAACCTGCTGGCACCACAACCAGTCAACCTGCTGGCACCACAACCAGTCAGTCAACCACACCTGCTGGCACCACAATCAGTCAACCTGCTGGCACCACAACCACAGTCAACCTGCTGGCACCACAACCAGTCAACCTGCTGGCACCACAACCAGTCACCTGCTGGCACCACAACCAGTCAACCTGCTGGCACCACAACCAGTCAACCTGCTGGCACCACAACCAGTCAACCTGCTGGCACCACAACCACAGTCAACCTGCTGGCACCACAGCCACAGTCACCTGCTGGCACCACAACCAGTCAACCTCCTGGCACCACAACCAGTCAACCTGCTGGCACCACAACCAGTCAACCTGCTGGCACCACAACCACAGTCAACCTGCTGGCACCACAACCACAGTCAACCTGCTGGCACCACAACCAGTCAACCTGCTGGCACCACAACCAGTCAACCTGCTGGCACCACAACCAGTCAACCTGCTGGCACCACAACCACAGTCACCTGCTGGCACCACAACCAGTCAACCTGCTGGCACCACAACCAGTCAACCTGCTGGCACCACAACCAGTCAACCTGCTGGCACCACAACCAGTCAACCTGCTGGCACCACAACCAGTCAACCTGCTGGCACCACAACCAGTCAACCTGCTGGCACCACAACCAGTCAACCTGCTGGCACCACAACCAGTCAACCTGCTGGCACCACAACCAGTCAACCTGCTGGCACCACAACCAGTCAACCTGCTGGCACCACAACCAGTCAACCTGCTGGCACCACAACCAGTCAACCTGCTGGCACCACAACCAGTCAACCTGCTGGCACCACAACCACTCAACCTGCTGGCACCACAACCAGTCAACCTGCTGGCACCACAACCACAGTCAACCTGCTGGCACCACAACCAGTCAGAATTTAAAATCAGGCACAACTCACAGGGTGAATCACAGCCAAGCTTTGATGTGCATTTAAATGGGTTATCAACATGCGAGAATTTTTATTAAAAACTCCCGTCTGTCAGTCGATATTGGATACGCCTGTCTGACTGTCTACGCTGGAAGTTATGTTTACTGGGACCACTTTTCATGCACCAGCTGTTTACTGGGACCACTCTTCATGCACCAGCTGTTTACTGGGACCACTTTTCATGCACCAACTGTTTACTGGGACCACTCTTCATGCACCAGCTGTTTACTGGGACCACTTTTCATGCACCAGCTGTTTACTGGGACCACTCTTCATGCACCAGCTGTTTACTGGGACCACTCTTCATGCACCAGCTGTTTACTGGGACCACTCTTCATGCACCAGCTGTTTACTGGGACCACTTTTCATGCACCAGCTGTTTACTGGGACCACTCTTCATGTAGTGGTCCCTGACAGTCGTCACCATCAAAAGACTGTACTGCCTCCTCAAACTACCCCATTCACCCCTTATCCAGCCCATTCACCTGCTTATATAGTACTTTTAGTAACGATGAGAACCGTCTTACATATATTAACGTGAAAGACAATTAGAAATGTTGAAATCGGGACTATTAAATTTTGACAAATAGGAAATGATTTTGTACTGTTGTTGTAAAGAAAATCTGATCAAACCTAACCTTCCTAGACCTAATAGACGGTATATGAGACCTAATAGACGGTATATGAGACCTAATAGACGGTATATGAGGCCTAATATTGTATATATATCTCCTATACTAGGAGATATATAGGCCTATACTAGGCCTAGGAGTAAGTTTGTTTTTTTGCATTATTTTTTTTCGTATTCTTATAAAGTGAATAGTAACGACTTCTATCAAATTGTCAATTATTTCTGTTTTGTACAATGTGCATTCTAAACAGGAGGATGGGTTACCATATTAGAAGTACTCCTTCCTTGCTACTCCATCACATAGAACTCCATCTCAATGTCATCTCTCCCTCCCCCTACCCATGCCTTGCCCTCACCACTTCCCCCCTGCCTTTCCCCCCACCATCTGCCTTTCCCCCCCCCTGCCTCCCCTTCCCCAAAGCCGCCCTCTCGTCCTCCTATACTGCTGCTTATCGATCACATTAAAAATAAGGGTTTTCGGAAGTGGTATCAGGGACTCCCTATTCACCCTCCCCCCACAAGGCTGTTGTTCCCTCCCTCCCTCCCTCCCCCCCCCGACAAGGCTGTTGTTCCCTCCCTCCCTCCCCCCCCCACTCAGCCCCATTGCTGCCCATCCCAGAATAATTGTATCTACTACTTTTACTAGCAGGAAATACCTTCCTCGTCGCTTCTTCAGTTTCCAATTGCTTTTGTTGAGTTGTGAGGGTGTTGTGGTAAGCATGTTAGTCGTTGTTGGGTTGGGGTGTGTTTGTCGAGTAGTGACAGCGGGACCGTGTTCTTGTTCACTTGTTGGGAGTTGGGTATGTTGTTGTGAAGCTTCTGTACTCACCTAATTGTGCTTGCGGGGGTTGAGCTCGGGCTCTTTGGTCCCGCCTTTCAACTGTCAATCAACTGGTGTACAGATTCCTGAGCCTACTGGGCTCTATCATATCTACATTTGAAACTGTGTATGGAGTCAACCTCAACCACATCACTGCCTAATGCATTCCGTCTGTTAACTACTCTCACACTGAAAAAGTTTTTTTTAACGTCCCTGTGGCTCATGTGGGTACTCAGTTTCCACCTGTGTCCCCTTGTTCGCGTCCCACCCGTGTTAAACAGTTTATTTTCCCGCAAAAAAAAAAAAAAAAAATTATCGAGTGTGTCCATAGCATCAAACTAAATTAAAACAAAAACCAACAGGCAGCAGCAGACCGCGACTCCCTACCCGCCAAACACACACCGAAACTACGACGTTGGTACAACGTTTGAACAAGTTTCAACACCTAACCAGTTATAACAACCAATATAGCAAGTTGTAACAACGTTCTAATACGTCATAAACACGTTAAGCCAAGATGTAACAACTTTATTACAAGTTGTAACAAGCGGAAAATAGACAGTTTCGGTTTGTGTTACACACGACCCAACAAACATCAGGAAGAAGAGTTACCAAATCAAAGTGAAGTGGTTTCCTCTCCCCAACTGAGATAAGATTATTTCCAGCCACAGGTTCGTGCTTAGCAATACTGATACCAGGAGTCTAGGGTAGCCGGTCGGCCGAGCGGACAGCACGCTGGACTTGTGATACTGTGGTCCTGAGATCGATCCTAGGCGCCGGCGAGAAACAATGGGCAGAGTTTTTTTTCACCCTATGCCCCCTGTTACCTAGCAGTAAAATAGGTACCTGGGTGTTAGCCAGCTGTCACGGGCTGCTTCCTGGGGGTGGAGGCATAGTCGAGGACCGGGCCGCGAGGACACTAAGCCCCGAAATCTCAAGATAACCATTTCCCAGTTCCATCGTATTCTAAGTTACAAAATAAACCCGTCGCTATATTCCATTAAATAATACCAATACCGTAAGCCTGATATCTTGAGGTTATCTTGAGATGATTTCGGGGCTTTAGTGTCCCCGTGGCCCGGTCCTCGACCAGGCCTCCACCCCCAGGAAGCAGCCCGTGACAGCTGGCTAACACCCAGGTACCTATTTTACTGCTAGGTAACAGGGGCATAGGGTGAAAGAAACTCTGCCCATTGTTTCTCGTCGGCGCCTGGGATCGAACCCAGGATCACAAGTCCAGCGTGCTGTCCGCTCGGCCGACCGGCTCCTGACAATATAAATTATTACAATTTTTATTACATATACGAACTGTACTAATTTAGCCCTAGGCATTTATGGCAAAAACCCAAATGCACGGAACAAAATTAGTCTACATTAATAGTTGTAAAAATACAATATTCTGAAGGTAAACTCTTGGCTTGGCATTTAGCATCAGGCCAAACCACCTCCGAGGGCTAGTTAAGGCTCCGGCACGAGCCTTCAACAAACCAGGGAGTATACTTTTTGTCCTGAACAGGAAGCAAGACAAAAGTACACTCTGAATACACTCCACGGTGTACATATCCCGGAGTGAAATTACTCGCTGTGCAAGGAAATGAAGTGTTTTAAGTGCTTACACCACAGCATGTACTGGGGCCATGCTCCGGCAAGCTGCGACCGACATACAGAGACGTACAAATAAAGCTATGCTCCGGCGCTTGGAGGAGCATAGCTGGAGCATAGGTTAGACGATGGGAGTGGGGAATGGTGGGGAGGACAAGGGGGGGGGAGTGGGGAATGGTGGGGAGGGGACGGGGGAGTGGGGAATGGTGGGGAGGACAAGGGGACGGGGGAGTGGGGAATGGTGGGGAGGACAAGGGGACGGGGGAGTGGGGAATGGTGGGGAGGACAAGGGGACGGGGGAGTGGGGAATGGTGGGGAGGACGAGGGGACGGGGGAGTGGAGAATAGTGGGGATCGGCCGTAGCGTACACGAGCTTAGCATGAAAATGGGAGGCAAACAGTGCCAAAACTGTATAACCAGCATCTTGCATACGCAATCTGTACATGCCAAAGACCAAGGGAATAACAAGATGTTGAATCTGTATGGGGGGGGGGGGGTCCGAACCCCTCCCCCCCCCCCCCCGCATCCCTAACTCGACATTTTCTCATGCATATATTAAGTTGTTGTGACTGCATCGTGTACCAAGGGCATGTTTGCTATAGTTTTTTAATCGGTATTGTTTTGTTTTGATATTAAATTAAAACTTGTTTACACTCAAATCCTGCTAGAAATTAAGCCACGACACCAACTGATGTTTGAAATTGATTCGATACACATTACGTAATGGTAAAGTAACCTGGGCTCAAAACCCACCCGGGCTCTCCAAACCCACCCGGGCTCTCCAAACCCACCCGGGCTCTCCAAACCCACCCGGGCTCTCCAAACCCACCCGGGCTCTCCAAACCCACCCGGGCTCTCCAAACCCACCCGGGCTCTCCAAACCCACCTGGCCTCTACAAACCCACCCGGGCTCTCCAAACCCACCCGGGCTCTCCAAACCCACCCGGCCTCTCCAAACCCACCCGGCTTGCAAATTCGCTATATGCAAGCAAGGCAAAAGCAAAAATACAACATATATATGTATATATTATATATAAACATATATTATATATAAATATACATATATACACACAACGAAATTTCATAGTGTGTTTACCACCGGGCGCCAGTGTGACCTGGAAAGCAGAAGGTCGACCTAGAAAACTGCGCATGGTACTCACCCCTGGAAGTGTGCGTTTCTCATGGAGTGCGTTCTGTGCGTTGAGGGCAGCCTCCCGGGTAGAGTAGGTGAGGAAAGCACATCCTGGGTGACGAACAGAGAGGAGTATTAGCAACTGCTAACATACCATCTACATATACTCTAATAAATATATCAATACACACACACACACACACACACACACGTGACAATTCGAACATCTTGATTAACTCAAATGTTTTATATTAAAACCCATAACGTTTCGAGTACTCATTAGTATGCATCATCAGATCTAAAATACAGAGCAATCGAGTTAATATTAACAGAGAACTAACAATGAGAAACATGGTTAACATTCTTAAGAGACGAGAATGACACGAGTTATTAAAAAAAACATGGAAAGGGGGAACAAAAACCGATCAACTCACGTAATGATAAAACAAAGACGTAATGATAAAACAAAGACGTAATGATAAAACAAAGACGTAATGATAAAACAAAGACGTAATGATAAAACAAAGACGTAATGATAAAACAAAGACGTAATGATAAAACAAAGACGTAGTGATAAAACAAAGACGTAGTGATAAAACAAGGCAAGAGTTGATAACATTCAAAATTGACAATAAAGACTAAATAAAAATCACAGATCCTAAAAAGTTCGAAGATTCTATGCACGACAAAATTAAATAAATTATAGAATTACCAAAGTCACACATTATTATAGCAGCACAAATATTATAAAATAACAGAAACCCAAATGATACATTTAGCATCACACAAAAAATTCTAAAACCCATCCTACTTAAAAAAAAAAAAAAAAAAAAAAAAGAAGAGCAAAATCACATCATGGAAAACTAAAAAAAAAAAATATAATGATGCGCAAATAAACATGCGCAGAACAACAACTTTCTGAAATGGACAACTGATGGATTACTGTTTAAGAGAGGCCGCAGCTCCATGATGTATAAGGACTCCATAATTCCCAGGTCAGACTGTCCCTTCATGCAAGAGTCCAAAATTTTAAAGTCGGACTCATGTAAACAAATGACCGCTCTCATGACGGTGGTTCCTAATTTCAGAAAAATCTGGCTGCATTATTCAACCCGTCCTCGACTCGAGTCCATTCCATCCAGCGGTCGACCCCACAGACGCATTCATAAATTTTTACATGCTGTTCATTTAAAATGGGAATTTTCTCAAATATAAATTAATATTATAATATATTAGCATATTGTGTATAAATAGGCATAGGTTAGGTTAGGTTAGGTGTTTAGGTTCTGTTGGCGATTATTTGTATTTGTAGTACGTGGGTGAAGCATTTATAGCGTTGTGGTTCGAACAAAATTCGTCAGTGAAGCACTTGTTCCGGATATGTTCGAACGTCAGCAGTTGTGAGTCGTGTGTAAACCGCTTTTCATTCATAAACAGGGGGGTTGGCGGGTGCATGAAATCACTTTTGGATCTTTGTTTGGAGGACGGGCTGCATTATTGGAAGACCGGTTCTTAAATATATTTCCCGTGAGCTCCAGTATCCCGTTTTGAAGTTCCGAATAGAATCCGACTTGAGAATCGATATATATTTATATATATATATATATATATATATATATATATATATATATATATATATATATATATATATATATATATATATATATATATATATATGTCGTACCTAGTAGCCAGAACTCACTTCTCAGCCTACTATGCAAGGCCCGATTTGCCTAATAAGCCAAGTTTTCCTGAATAAATATATTTACTATAACCTTTTTTCTTATGAAATGATAAAGCAACCCCTTTCTCTATATGTATGAGGTCAATTTTTTTTTATTGGAGAAAATTAACGTAGATATATGACCGAACCTAAAAAACTTGACCTCTACCTAATGAAACCTAACCTTTATCATTTATAGAAAAAGGTTAGGTTATATTAATTCAAAAAAGCTAGGTTATTAGGCAAATCGGGCCTTGAATAGTACGCTCAAACATTAATTCTGGCTATTAGGTTGGCTTATTAGGCAAATCGGGCCTTGAATAGTATATATAGAAGTGCGTTCTATATATTAGGTATATATATATATATATATATATATATATATACAAGAAGGTACATTGGGATTGTGAGGATACATAGCATAGTAATTACATTCTTGTAAAGCCACTAGTACGCGCAGCGTTTCGGGCAGAAGGTCCAGGACGGACCGAAACGTCGTCGTCCCTTCACCTTCTAGTGTGTGGTCTGGTCAAACTACTTCAGCCCCGTTATTGTGACTCATCACCTGAATAACTTCCTATATATCCCGCGTTACAGCTGGAACATTTATACGCATATACGATATAAATATAACCACTATACGTATGCTCTAGTGATATAACAAGCAATAACAGAACACCAGAGTCGCGGCGTTCCGTCTTGTCCTCATAGTTTGTGACGATTCTTGGCCAATCACTAGCCGACTGAGTGACGTATGCCATCTCAGCTCACCTACTGATCATTTCAGGTCATTTGACATGAACTGTCGTCACTTTTTAAGCATCATAAATAAGCCAAGCGCAATCTAGATTAATATGTCACACTCAAATATAACCGAAGAACACATTATATATTATGAATTCTAACTTTTATTAAATATTCGTCAGCAGTCCTATTTAATGGTTAATAATGCAGACTGAAACGTCGTCGTTTCCTTCACTTTCTAATGGTGGTTTGATCATCATATTTAATGGTGTTGAGCAAGAAGGCTGAGTGATCGAGTGTACGTATAACATCATAACATAACAATAGCGATTATGCTCTTGCAACGCTGTGTAAATTAATCTTTGGCTCGAAGCTTCAAGTGTATGCATTTATTTCCTAGTTACGTTGCGTTAGAGTTTAACGAGTGATTTGCATATTGTTCCCGCCCTGCCTCCAGGTGCCGACCCCACCTTGTTTGTGACGAGGTCCAGAGAGAGACGAGAGTGCTCTCTATTTTATATTTTCACTATTGTTATTCCTGTAATACAACGTCAAGTATTCAGTGTCATTACGTTTTATATTATATATATATATATATATGTATAGCAAATAAATTATAGCATAGTAGAACTCTGTTTAGTGTTTGCAGGTTATAGTGTGTGTGTGTAAACTAAAGTCTTTGAAAATGTAATAAGTTATTACGAAACGCGTTCAAGTGTCCCGTCAGACTAGAAATAAAAATGAATTTTGGAGAACTGATTTTTCAATTACCATCAACAGTGAAAAGAAACATAAGAAATATTGAGAAAATTCGCGTTAGAATTATTAATCTTACTTTTTCGGTCATATTTAATAATATATATATATATATATGTATATACATACAATCTCCTTCAATTATCAGATTCATTAAACCATTTCTAACTGCTGTATTTATCGACCTATAAAGTGTTTAGTAATGAATGAAACAATTTCGAAGGTCACTATTTCAAGCCCATGTAGTTATGCTTTATTACACTGAATATTAGGTTGAAAACATTTTCAACAGGACATTTAGCTATAAATTAGAAGCTTTTTAATAAAAAAAGTATTTTGACAATAATAAAGCTGATCTTGTCTGATGTTTAGAAGAGATTGTGTTCTTGTGTTGTCGTCAACAACCTCATTAGTCATAACTGGGTCATTGTTGGCCTTTGTTCCTTACTCGCTTCTATATATCGCATCAACTCATTCCTTGTCGTATTACTTTCAACTTTCTTCTTTTCTCCTTCCCTCCCTTCCTCGATCTCTCCTTTTCTTCCTTCTTTCCCTCCCTTTCTCCCACACACACTTATTCTTTCCCCTATACCTACCCTTTCTCCTTTACACCATTTGTTTCCATCCCCCAGATGATCGTAGCTGACCCCTCTCCTAGCTGCTCGTAGCCCCTTCCACCCATCCGACATACCTATCTCCCCCTCCCTAACCTCTACCACACTTGAACACTTACCTACCACTGCTCTGCTCTCTCCCACTTGCCTAGCACACACACCTCTGCTGCCTCGCTCTGTTCTTAATGTGTCTTAAACCATTATCAAGCAGTTCAAACACGTCAGGATCACTCGACTACAACAATGGGTAGATTACCTGTGTATGAGGCTTGCTGACGAGGCATGGTGCCTCTCCTTGTCTCTCTGTGGTGGAGGGGCCTCTTGAGAGAATATAGAGAAGGTGATCACGTTCCTACCTTCTCTCCCTCCTCTCTCTCTCTGACAAGATTGGGGCCTTCTTCCTTGTCTCTTGTTTCAGCTTGAATTAGTTCCCATTGCTCGTTCAAGCTTGCCCCCCTCTTCCTCTATCCTCCACACCGCTATCCTTCCTTCAAGGGTGATCTTACTCTATCCCGTCAAGCTTGTTTGCCCTCTCGAATCACCTCAAGCTTGGCTCCCTCCCCAATCCTTCAAGGCAGCTCTCTCCCCTCCCAAACCCTTCAGGCGAGGACTGTCGCTATCGTGGGCATCTTCCTGAGGACCTCTCACACGATACCTCTCCCAAGGATGGGGGTCCCCACTCTCCCACGGAGGGATCCCACACTCTCCCAGGGGTCCCCACACTCTCCCAGGGGGTCCCCACACTCTCCCAGGGGTCCCCACACTCTCCCAGGGGGTCCCACACTCTCCCTGGGGGTCCCCACACTCTCCCTGGGGGTCCCCACACTCTCCCAGGGGTCCCCACACTCTCCCAGGGGTCCCCACACTCTCCCAGGGGTCCCCACACTCTCCCAGGGGTCCCCACACTCTCCCAGGGGGTCCCCACACTCTCCCAGGGGGTCCCCACACTCTCCCAGGGGGTCCCCACACTCTCCCAGGGGGTCCCCACACTCTCCCAGGGGGTCCCCACACTCTCCCAGGGGGTCCCCACACTCTCCCAGGGGGTCCCCACACTCTCCCAGGGGGTCCCCACACTCTCCCAGGGGTCCCCACACTCTCCCAGGGGGTCCCCACACTCTCCCAGGGGGTCCCCCCACTCTCCCAGGGGGTCCCCACACTCTCCCAGGGGGTCCCCACACTCTCCCAGGGGTCCCCACACTCTCCCAGGGGTCCCCACACTCTCCCAGGGGTCCCCACACTCTCCCAGGGGTCCCCACACTCTCCCAGGGGTCCCC